AACCAACCAACCAACCAACCAACATTTATTGGTTAATGTAAGTTAAATTTTTTTATAAAATTTGAAGTATCAAAAACTAACCAATGAATCTTCCAATTAACTACTTGTGTATCAGGGTTTATAGATCTAACATAGCATCTTGTACAAAATTGAAGACAGCATGCTTCTTTGTTAAAATTAGATGTATTTGGATAAATAACAGAAAATTATAATTTTGTTCAACATCAGAAATGGCATTTAAAGCATTGATTTTTGTTGTTTACGTCAAACTTCTTATGTACTTGTAGAATTCACCCACAAACATTAAGTTTTTCAGATATTTATTTACTTATTTTTGCTTAAAAAGCAAGAAGGAATTGATATTACTATGCTGGCCTTGTGGTGACAAAACATGCCATATAAATTATTACATAGTAAAAAAAATGTTGCAGAATCTGGTTTATAATTACCTTGATCAGAATTTTTCTTTCTGCATATAATGCACTGCATATCCAAGAATATAACTAGCTATTTGGGCTCAATCCTTAAAGCATTCATTTTAATCTTGCTTTGTTTTAGTAACTTTCTCAGACAGAATATCATCTTTAAATGCAAGTATAAGTTCAATTTCTAATGGTACGACTTCATATCTTCCTCCAGATGACAGCATTAGTGGTTCAGAATTAACAACTGGTTGAACAAACGTTTTAAATATATAATCTTATAAATCATGGGTCATAAGACCTTGTACGAGAAATTAAACCAACAGGCAGAATTTAGGATTAAGTTGTAAAGAACTGAGAAGATGTGATATTTTGTGAGAAAAAAAAAGTTCAAACTAAGGAGAAAGTCATTGCTTTTTGCTACACATTTGTACAGAAATTTTCAGTTTTATGTAAAAAACGAATTTAAAGATGTTTTTCAAGTAAATAATATTTTACCATTTATTAACTGGTCTTTATATTTTCAAACATTTTTAGATAAAAAAATGAGTTTCAAGAAATACAGAAATCATAATGAGAGTCCAGAGAAGTCAGATGATGCCTGCTGTGAGATGTATGTTGGAAATTATCCAAGCACATTTGGTGAAGTAAGTTTACAAAACATGCAGACTTCCTTTTGGTTTTCTTAACTAAACATGTTTTTTCTATTAATACACACAAAAAAACAAAGTTGTTTATAAAGATATAAAATAAGTCACTAAATTAGCTGGTTTGTTAACTTTAAATTCAGGCATTGAATGCCTTCAAAGACTTTTTTTGTATGTGTGTGTAAATGGTGTTACTGGAATTTTATATTAGTAGACTTTTAAATTAATAATGACTTTGTTCTGAAAGTGGTTACAAGTTGTAGTATATTTTAAGGTAGTTGTGACTTCTTATTCACATATTTTTGAGTTTTTATCATTAATCTGGTGTTCTAGACTATTTTGTTGGTAATTACCACATCTTTAATGATCATTAAACGAGCTTCAATATTTGTAGGCCTGAATTTAGTCCTACACTGTTTAACAGCACAGAAACTGTACATAGTTAAGTCAAAAGAAATGAAATCCATATAATATCTGTTTCAGTATGTGCTTGGACAAGATGGATATGATAGTGACAAGGGCCTAGATTTGCAATGTCCAACATCTAGTGTATATTTCTCTAAAATACATCATTGATTTAAATAGTTTATTTATAATATTATTATGTCTCTGTTCGTTTGCTAATTTTCTGTAAAAATTCTTTCCGAAGAAACTTTAGTGATACAAGTCCTTTCTTAAATAAAACTAGTTTATTCTTTCTCAATACAACTTTGAAATTCACTTAATTTCCACGGTCACTCTATAACTTAAACAAACGCTATAATTCAGAACGAATGATTCACGCGCTTGAATCAATTGTCCGTCTCTATCTCTGTCTACAATTCAATTCCATTGTTGCCGTCAGTTCTTGGCGGTCTTATATACAAGAATACCGCGCATCTGGTAAACACTTGAGGCTTCACGAACGGACATGAATTTTCTAGAAGCTCATGACGTGCTACTAGCGTCACGTGACTTCCGCTGTCGTAACAATATATATATATATATATATATATATATATGTATATATATATGAGGAAACGTAATGAACTACAAGCAACCAAACAGTTCCTCAAATAATAATTTAAATTGTGACTATAACTATACATCATACATACCCACAGAAGTAAAAAAAAGGCAAGGGGATAATTTTCAAATCATATTGACATATATGAAATTCTGAAGACTTAGAAAATTTTTTGGTAAATTATTATACAAATCCTTTAATTAGCATGCTTGGTTAGTGTATACTGGACATAATGTGTTTTTTTTTTGCTTTACAGAAAGACCTTTTCAGGATTTTTCAAGGCTATGACATTGTTAAAGTAAGAAAACTGTTCAAGAAAGATCATAAAGTGTGAGTATATGAGAACAAAAAAATATTGCTCTTGTGATTATTTTTTATTTATTTGTTGTTTTATCCAGCTCTACTTAGTGTAGCAAGGTAAAGCTGAGTATAAAAATTGGGATACAGGTGTTCTTCACATATGCACTATACATATTATGCAAAACCAGTGTGGTAATTATCCAATATTAAGGAAAACTTTGTCTGTCTGTTGACTTATCTCCTCCTAAATGATTTGACTGATCCAAACCAAACTTGGCATGTTAACTTAGTAGTCCTAAAGCAAACCAAGTTCTTATAAACTTCTCATATATTGAAAAGTAAAAGTATTTTATAGAATAACCTCTATATCGTTACTGCAGTACCTATTGTAAATAGTTGAGTTTGAACAAAACTCACACCACCACAAAATTCTGATGTGATATCTTGCCTCTTCTCACAAAATAGCTTTGCTTTCCTTGATGTACTGCCCTCAATGAGCACAACATTTTGCTTGCTGCTAGCCTTTATGCACCCAACCTGCCATGTGGTATAACTGCATTGTAGCATTCAAATACGGATGCAACAACCTTTCACCAACAGGAGTGCAACACAGTCTCCTAGCACAGCTGACTCCCTCTATGTGGTAGAACCCAATCTTCACTTCTTGACTTGGTGCAACAGTAATCGGTTATTTTGCTTAAGTTTGGTATTCATTGCCTTTTGCATTTGAGACTTTGCTTTCATTTTTTAACTTTACCAATAATTGTTTACTTTTAATTTTTTTTTCTACTTTCACTTATCCTTTTTTTTTTCATGAAATTTCTTTACTACTTCACATTGCAGTCATTTCATCTAACTACTGTGATGTGCGTATACTTTGAAGAATTAATATGAATTCCCAGTTTCAAGTTGCAACCACTGCTGCTTCAGACATTGCCAGTGAACAACAGTCTACTGCAGTGGCTTCAGGTTTAACATTATTGGCTGAGGAAGTTTTGGCCCTTGTTAGCTAGGACTTGACTTCTTCCATGCAGACCAAGGGGTCTCCTGTACAGCAACTACTTCTCCCCTTTCTTCCATAAATCTTATGTCTGAGGCTCTCCCGTTGTTCCCCTGAGGGTTTTTTGGCAGATGCCCATTCCATTCTCCTACCCATTGGTGAGCTTATCCTCCTCTGCCCTGTCACTCCACACATACCTCCTTTGTTGTTGGGACCTCTTAGGTAAGGACTCTCTTTTAACCTGCATGCATCTTTCTTCTACATCTTCACATGATTAATGGATGGGCCCACTTTTTATGGCAAACTGTTTTGTGGGGTTATCCTGACTCATTGGAGTTAAGAGTGGAATCTGCCTGTTTACATACATCCCTTTCTTCCTGGCCATTCATTTGTCACAACCTTTCCCAGCTCCTTTCCCTGTACCATGCCCACCTCCTTCCTCTCCCTTACCTGTTCCTTCCTCTCCCTTACCTGTTCCTTCCTCACAGGTCCCTCCTACATGGCATCCTATTGTTCACTGCTGACCTGCATGTCTCCAATGGTACTAGTGACTTTTCTGTGGGATTGGGTCCAGTAGGGGCCAGACTGCTTCTTTTTGTGGATATTTGGGAGATGTTTACCACAGAGACCCACTGGTTCTTCGACTCTTATCAGAAGTACTCTCCCTTTCTTTTACCTCCTCTCCTATCACTTTTCCCTCTTTCTTGGGACACTCTTTCAAGTAAGCAGCTTTCAACAGCAGTTCAGGATCTTCTTCTCAAGGGTGCTATAGAATTGGTAGTTCCTATTCTTCCAGGTTTCTATTCCCATCTCTTTGTAGTCCCCAAGAAGACTGGGAATTGGCATCATGTTATAGATCTCTCTAGTCTGAACCACTAGATGGAAGTTGGTTCACCATGGAGTCTTTCCTGTCTCTTTAATGGGCTTTTACTCCTGATCTTTGTATGAAGAAGATCGACATTTCTGATGATTACCTTCATATTCCCATTTCTCCAGCATCTTGTTGTTATCTTCACTTTGCCCACAGGGAAGGGAAAGTGTATATCAGTTCTGGGCTCTCCCTTGTGGGCTGGCCTTGGCACCCTACATTTTTGTTGGGTGATCAAGGCCTTTTGCAGACTTCTTCATTTCGTTTCTATTACTACTTGGATGACTGGCTCCTGCTAGCTCCTTCACTATCAGTTTCTTCCATCAACATGCAGTTTCTTCTCATGGAAGCTGCTTGAGTGGATTAGATGGTCAAAGTAGAGTCCATTCTCACGCTGATTCAATAGCTCATTCATCTTGGGGTATTCTTCAATTCCCATCTCAGTCAGCCCAAGCTTTCTCCTTTTTGACTGTGTTCTATGGAGCTTCTGATTTGAAAGGCTCAATCCTCACTTATTCTACCTGCACAAGATGTTCTTTCTCTTTTTTGGGGGACATGGGCTTCCTTGGAGGCCCTTATTCCCCTTGGTTAGGCTCACATGAGGCCTCTTAAGTGGGTACTTCATGATCAATGGAACCTCAACAGGGATCCCCTGGATTATCTAGTTTCCCTTCCTCCATCTCTCCAAACCAATTTTGCTTGGTGGCTAGATAGGGACAACACAACAGATAGTGTCCCTCTTCCTCCTCCTCGACCAGAGGTGGATCTTTTTATAGATTCTTCTCTGTTGGGCTGGGGACATATTGTGATGCCCAAGAGATCCTGGGCCATTGGTCATTAGTTGAGTTGATTTTCCATCTCAATCTTCTGGAACTCCAGGCAGTTTGTCAGGCAATGGCTCATTTCCTGCTGGCTTTGAGGGGCAAAATGGTAATGATATTTTCTGACAACATAATGGTTGTTTCCTACATCACTCAGCAAGGGGACATGTGGTTGCACTCCATTTGTTTTCACAGATGCTATTCTGGGCTGACAGCCATCACATTTATATGTTGGCTTGTCATATCCTGGGTGTTCTTAATCTTGTCTCGGATCGTTTATCCCATCCTGACAAGATTCTCCCCACAGAGTGGTCTCTCAGCCCTCAGATTTTGAAATGACTATGCTCTCAGTTGGGTACTCCCCAACTGGATGCTTTTGCAGTTGTTGTGGTTCTGTAACTGTGACAGTTATTTTTTTTCTATTTGGTTAAAATTAATTGGGAGGTGCTGCTTACCATTCAGGTGGAAAATTTCTATACCAAATTTCTTTGATTTCGATTCTAACTTCATGTACCTAAAATTCATACAGTAATTAATATGTTTTTGTGTCTATTCTTTTCTTTTTTTTTCAGTTTTGCATTTGTTCAATTCAAAAGTAAAGAATCTGTGAAAAAGGCTGTTGAAGAACTATCTGATTATGACATCCAAGGACGAAAACTTAAACTGCATGCTATGAAGGGGAAGAAAGAAAACAACAAAAGAAACTTTAGAAACAACACATATAATAAACCTCTAACAAAAGGGTCTTATGAATCTTTATCATTAGACCGTGATGAACCCCCACCCTTGGGGCATGATGAACCCCCACCCTTGGGGCAAGATGAAACCCCACCCCTGGGGCATGATGAAACCCCATCCTTTGAAAACGATGGAC